CATCTGCCATGATATGAAGAACACTGAACAGTAAATTAAAGAAATCAAACTTTCCTTTGGTTTTGTGCATCACTCTGAGCTGAAATTTTAATTATCCAACAGCTGAAATTTGGAATACTCCTGAAATAGACAATGAGTCACTGGGTCATGCAGATGTAAGTAAAGGCATTTCAGCCTGTTTTTATGCTGTCAAATGCATGGTTTGCTTTGCTGAGAGAAAAAAATGCAAACTGCAATCAAGATGCATATACTCTGTTACAGTGGAAAGAGAGCACATTTATACTGAAAACAAATGTCAATTTACCTTAGGAGGGTTTGCTACCGAAAATCAAGTTTGGACACTTACAGAATTCTCCCAGAATATAACACATGTTCCCTAACTACTGTATTTGTAGGCACTCATGCTTATCTGATGTGGCAATAAAAGGAGATGCAGTGGGCCTGATTCTTCTCTCACTTACATCAGCTCTAGTCAAAGATAGTAATGGGTGATTTACACCACCGTAACAACACTGTAACACTTGGTATTGGCTACGGAGGCAGCCAATAGAGACAGGACCCAGGAAGTCGCAACAAATAGACTTTTACTGTAACTTACACAGAGCTTACACTCCATGCACTGTTACACCTGCTTGTGCATTTCAGATTGAGCCACCAACGGGTCTTTTAGGGCACTTTAAGCAAAGGACATTTGGAAACAAATTATTCTGAACAAAAATATTGTTTCGTTTAAAACATATCTATGTAAAACCTTTGGACTCTTTCAATTTTCTTTCTTCCAGCACAACCAGTTTGGTGAATCATTTTGCTGCCACCATACCTGCATTCTTTTTTTTTGGCCAAAAGCCTTGGATGAAAAGTTTTGGACAGTTGTATTTTCAGGTATTGTATCTACTGCTTTATTTTTAAACAACCTAATATAGAACTATCAGGCTGGCACGTATACATAGAAGCTAGGGAGTCATTTGAAAAATGGACTATTCACCAATAGGGTGGCTTATAAACCCCTTGTGAACTGAGATTTATGTTGTCTTGCCTGATTCTAATACGACATAATGAGTAGGCTTTATGAAAGAACTATTGTGCTCTACCTGCCAAGTGGAAAACTGTAACTCCAAACACTAATTAGAATGTTATCATAACTTACAGAATTTGTGAATCCAAACTGAAGGAATCCACTGGGACCAGTAAGTCTGCTCCTGGTCTCCTGTTTAAATAAATCTGACCACATTGGCTTCACTAACAGAATCTGTTCCTTGAATTAGAAGTCCATACCACATGTGCAGTTTTTGCTTCACTAGCTACCTGTAAAGAGGGAACTGAAGTAGAAGCCTACCAGTGGCAGCTGGGCTGAATTAACTGACCCGTCCAACCAAATTATCATGACATGCAAGTGAAATAAAAAGGTTTTTGTTCCTCAGGTTGTGTTTTCCGAGAACTCCACAATGAATAGAATAATTCATTAAGGAGATCTCCCCTTAAGTAGCTTTCTATTAGGTTAGGCATAATACTATCCAACGTAAGTCCTCTAACATCGATTCTTTGTCTGTACGTAACGTGAAATAAATGTGACATGATACACCATATCTGGAGGTAATAAACCTCGCTTTCATGACAATGGCACTTTAGAATTGCGAAATGAATAAAGATGAGAGTGAATTTTGGGAGAGGGTCCCAAAATGGGTCAAAGGAGCTGGAGAAAAACATGCTATATGTATTGCTATTCAAACTAGCTCAAATTCATCTTAACCAGCCAGGAAGGGGATTTTTCCACAGATTGACTGCAGTCTGAGACAGGAGACAGGTAGGCAGAGAGCTTAGTGCACCTTCTGAAGACAGAACATGCTGCTTTTGAGCTTACTTTGCCCACAACCTCTGGAAGCATGCAGCTGGTACTGCTTCATTCATACCCCAAGTTCTCTGTGCAGTGGAAAACGGCTAACAGGAGCCATGCCCAATATGAAATCTAACACTGCTGTATTTTTAAGCAAGCAAAAAAGAAGAGACTGTGGATTTTTACTTAGTTGCACTGAGCCATCTGTCAGGAAAGAATGAGTTACACATTTGTTTCCATCAAAACTAGCTCATTATACTGGATGAAAGAAACACCTTCTGAAACACAAAACCCATCACATCACAGAAAGCAAGTAACAGCAATCAGGAATGGATAATCTCTTTTGGAATACAAGTAAAGGGTTAGGATTATAGTGTATTTTAAGGAAATTTATAATCGATCGTGCTAGCGTTGTTACCCAACTTGAGCAATAGACATCGAAAGATCATCCCAGTTGCTGCTCCTCCTCTGTCATGCTCCAATCCGACAGAAGTACTGACTCCTCACAAATCAAGAAACACAAGACAGGTGGGAGTAACACTTTAAAAACCACAGTGACCATACTAACAGGGAGCAGCTGCTTTAATGAAAGATGCTGACACACTGCTAGAATTTTCTTCCTGTCTTCGAACTAGTTTATTGGGTGTAATCATAACTTCTTCAAACAAAGCATTGCCTCAAGCGTTATCTGCAGCAACACCGTGTTAATAATAATGAATAGTGATGGCTAACTGGCAAACCTCCAAAGGTTTCAGCATGGATGTACTGAAACAATGGATGCTTATCTAAACTAACCAAAATTCTTGAGTCTCCAAAATCAGGATGTTTCACAAGATTTCTGGTCTTCTTTATTTCAGTCCAGGCAGAAAACGTTGGGAGGAGATTTTATATATTATTCTGGTAATTTTTTTATTTCAGTCTTTGTGGGCACAGAGAAGTAACTTTCATCATGTCTTATGGTTCAGATTTTGGGCTTGATTCAGCAAGTCACTTAAGGCCTTGCCACATAATAATTTTAGGTGGCTTCTGGAGCTCTTAAACCCTGGACTGGTTGCATGTTAACTCCTTTTATGTGATATAAAGCACTTGTTATTCTGCTTAAAGTTATACCACTCCAGGGCAGAATTCTCTCTAATCCACTTAATTTGGTTCCTGTTCCATTACTATGTGGCCACTTCCCAAAGCTAGTCCACCCAAATTGAAGTCCTCAATATCCTAGAATTCAGTGGGAGAGCAGGGACACTGGACTGCACTGGTGCCAGACATGGTGCCTTTACTTGGCTGCTTGCTACAACACTGGAGTGCCTGGCTGCTCCAGTGCCTCCTGGACCAGCTTGCTGCTCTGAATACCCAGACCAGACTCTCCTTCTGTCTGAAGAAGGGTGCTTGTACCCAAAAGCTTGCAAAGAACAATGTTTCCAACTATTTAGTTGGTCTCATAAAAGATATCACATTTACCCCGAGAAGTTTGTCTGCCTATGTCCTTAGACCAACTTGGCTACAACCAACACCCCCAGACCAGACAAGCTGCAGTGCCTGCAGGGGATGGCAGGCTGGTGCACATTCTTCCTCCTGGCCTGAGGTTGAAACTGAGCCTAGTCCCCCCACCGCCCCCCCTGCTCAGCTGCTGTGCATCCATCGCCCAATATCCATGTCCCCAGGACCGGGACACATGCTCTGGCGGGGCCAGGTGCCTGAAGCAAGGCAGAGCTCAGCAGTTGTAGCACAGCAGACCAAGACTAGTTCTTATTGATCCCATGCTCCACTCTCTGTCTGTTCAATCATGGATCAGTGGGAGGGATGAGCAACAGCCTGACTAGGTTATTTTTAGCTCTCTGACCTCCTCGCCCCTAGACAGATAACCCCTCCGACAGACCTGCCAGCCTCCCTCAATCCAACTAACCCTCCCTGCCACCCTCCCCACTAGCTTAGTTCCCCACTCCCAACTTATCTAGATCGGGTTCCTGGCGCAGTTCCTGGCACTGGCAAATATCTGCACAGACCAGACGTGATCTATGATCAGGCAGCTTAAAGTAAGCTTCATGATCTTAGATTAGCTCCCACAAACATCTACACCTTAAGATTAAAAGTTCCTCAGGTGAAGCACCTCTCTTAGCATTTTCCCTCTGTAGATTCAAAATGATTATGACCATTGTACGGGTAGAAAAGTTAAGGGGCATGAAATGAAGTGTCTAAGGTCATCCAGCAATCCAATAGCAGATCTGGAACTGGAACCCACCTTCTAAGTCCTACTTCTAGTTATTAGGCAGTGCTGTCGTGCTATTGGTAACAACATATACAAATTAACACCTACAATAATTTTGCAGGGAGGGAGGTTTTAATCTATCCTGCAGTAACTTAACTAACACACATGAATTTTGTAAAGGTTAGGGTGGTTCAGAATAGCGACATATTACAGTATGAGCAGTCTTGCTACCAATGTATTTTCTTATTCATTATACCAAAAACCTAGTGGTTTTTGGACTAAGAGTGGACTAAGAGTATGTTTTGCTCATACAAAAACAGCAGTTTTTACTGTATTTTTATAAGCCCAGGCTGCTAACATAGCTTCCAAATTGGAATAAGCTGCTCAGACTCAAAATTCAGCCAAAGGAAAATGGCACCAGGACAGAAGGCAACTCATAAGCAGGAGCCTCTCATGTACTTCCAAGATGGCCAGAGCCATGAGACTGAACAGAAACCCTGTCACATATCCTAGTGATGTTGCTGGTGGAAAAAAACCTTCCAGAATTTGGCACCAAAATCTCACAGCAGCAAATGTCAGCTGTGGCCACACACAGGTATTGGCTGCGATATTAGTATGCTTTGGAAAGTCAGGTGAACGCAAAGCAATTACAGCAGAATCCCAGAAAATACATTGAAGTTTAGCTGAAACAGACTGGATGATACAGGCCACGACTATGTAGCTACCCTGCTTCTAGTTTAGGAACCAAAACTCAAAGAGCATCACAACTTGCTTGAAACTGTCTCAGCCATCCACGGCAAATTTATTGCATTGTTATGGCCATATAGCAGCAGCTTCAAGGTAAGCATTCTAGCAGATTACATACACAGTCCTTATATTGTTCATCACTGGTGAAGTTAACATGGTCTATTGCTAAAGTTCCTCAATGTTTCTTACAATAAGACCTTATAATAAGACCCTCTTTTCAACTGCTTATAAATGTGCGAAACTGTAACTATTTGAACTGAAGTTTCACATGCCAAAACTGATTTTTTCTAATTGGAAAGTTTCAGTCAAAATGACCTAGCCATTTCTAAGAATAACGCTAAGGAAAATTGTTGCTTGAGAAGCAACTGAAAAACCATGAAGGAAAAATAATTCCGGTGACCCTTTAAATGAAAAAGTTCTAGCACCCACATGGTTTGAAACAGGGACACAAATTGGTGGGTCCTGGACTTTATGATTCCTGTGAATATGTTTCCAAATTTGGTTTTTGGAAAAAAAAAATTCCAAACATACCTTCCAAACAAACCTTGCACATAGTAACTACCTAGAATTTGTAGCAACCCCTGGCCCCGCCTGGGAGTTTTTCTTTTTTTTTTTTAATTTTAAAATACATCCCCTTCCCTTCCCCAACCATTTCTGACTTTCTCTCTGCCCTCTCTATCCCTTATAAGTGATTACAAGTGGTACTAGGTAAGCTAAGTTCTTATACTCCCTTACAATATAAAAGGGGCTCGTTACTGTAAGTAGTGTTCTATTATGCTTGTATTGATTTTTACTGTTTTATAATGAATTTATAAGATTTAGGCCTATGTCTGTAAAGTAATGTCAAGTAATGTCAAGTTTCCATTTTGTATGTCAAGCCTCCATCTTCTTTCCCCTGCCCGGGTATAACCTATTGTATAGTATGTTGTAACTGTGACTTGTCTCTAATCAGTCTTATGTAAACTGGCTCCTGAATGAATGGGAATGAATGAGGGTGCTTCAGGTAAAATGGTAGCAGGCCTCTACTGAATGATCAACTCAAGGATCAGACCATCAACTTAATGACCCAACCATTGCTTTGCATTGACTCATGCAGGAACAGAGACAAGACCCAGCATTTGAAAGATAAAGGACCTACAGAACCCAGCATTTGGAAGACAAAGACCCTACAGAAACTAGCAACCCCACCATCGTGTCCTACCAGATAATGAGGACACCTGGATCTGCACGTATGCATCTGAGCAGGACAGTCCTTGCCCGGACATGTCATTCCCATAGGAGACACAGGTAGCCCACCCCAGAGTCTGACCTCCTTGGGATGCCCTCTCCATCTGGACCAGCACTGCGCCATGCCACCTATCCACCCAGAGACCCTGCCAGTGACCCCCTCTGGACAACACTTTGCTGGAGACGACCCCGACTGGCCATCAATGATCAACTCACAGCCCAGGATAGCTGGTAGCTATCATTCGCCTTATTTCCCCAAGCAAAGGACCTGGACTCTGTCCTTACACACCTTGACTTCAATCCCTCCACTAAGCTTTCTTCTCTCCTGCTACCATTGTGCGGCTGCATGTGTGAGTGCTTGCGTGCGTGTGTGTAGGAACCAATAGCTTCATGAGCTGTATAGTATACTGCCTGTCTAATAAAACTGATATTTTTGACCCTGAGTTGGCTTCTATCTTGCTGCAGGCTCCCAGCTAAATCCCCCTCTCTCTGACCTCCATATGGGCTTTATTCCTCTCTATTGCCTCTATCTCCCCTGGCTCTAGCCCTCTCTCCCTCTCTGCTGACCTCCCGGTCCTATTCATTGGTTTCCCAGCTCTAGCTCTCTGCCTTCCCCCGATCTCTCTCTCCATTCCTGCTTGTGTCTCGCCACCTCTGCCTTAACCCTGATCCTTGTTCTCTCTTTTTTCCTTCCTTCCCTGACCTCTCCTGCTTGCGTCTGCCTCCCTCTGCCTTTGCCTTCTGCCCAATCCCCGTCTCTCTCTGCCTTCTCTCCCCCATCTCCCTCCGTTTGTGTCCCGCTGCCTTCCCCATCTCTCTCTGTTCTGCTTTCTTTCCCCAATCTTCCCTGTCTCCCTGATCTTCATTCTCCCCTGTTATCTGCTCTGCTGCCACCTCTCCAGTACCCAGAGCCTCTCCCTATTCCCCACGATCTGGCTCCAACACCTGGGGCCCCCCCTCAGTTTCCCAATCCTGCTCTGGTGCCTGGAGCCTCTCTCACAGCTTCCCTGTTTGGCTCTGGCACCTGAAGCCTCTCCCAATTTCCCCCAACCTGGCTTCCAGCATCTGCAGCTCCCCCACAGCTCCCCAATACGGCCCAGCACCCAGAGCCTCTCCCTATAACCCAAATCTGGCTATGGCACCCAGAGCCTCCCCCACAGCTTCCTGATCCTGCTTTGGCACCTGGAGCCTCCCCCGATTTCCCCTCACCTGACTCCTGGCACCCGGAGCCTCCCTCACAACTTTCTGATCTGGTTTTAGCACCTGGAGCCTCTGCTGATTTCCCCCGATCCGCCTCCTGGCATCCACAGCTCCCCCGCAGCTCCCTGATTTGGCTCCAGGACCAGGAGCCTCGTCCGCAGCTTCCTTATCCAGCTTTGGCATCCGGAGCCTCTCCCAATTTCTCCCAACCTGGCTCCTGGCCTCTGAGCCTCCCCTGCAGCTTCCCGATCTGGCTCTGGCTCCGACCTCAGCCTCTGTACTGGCTTCTCCCCGGAATTGCTCCTTCACTCTGCCAGCTTTTGGCTTTTTGCTTTGATTAATTAACACTAATTAACCTTAAGTAACCCCAGGGGCCACAGTAACCTCAAGTAATCCCAACCCCAAGTGACCCCAAGTAACTCCAGGGGCTACTTGACCTCGAATCACCCCAAGTCCTAATGACCTTGAGTAACCCCAGGGCCACTTGACCTTAAGTAACCCTAAACACCAAGTTAACTCAATGCCCCCTAGTGTTAACACACAGTCACGAAAGTGCGTGTTTGTGTATGTGTACATGTGTGTGTACTCATAGTGGTGTTCATGTAGTTTGTGTGTGTGTTTATGTAATTTTGTATCACACCCTCCTGTCTAACAGAGCAATATCTGGATCCCGAGTGTTGATCTGGTGCGTGTCAAGTCAACAAATTTAACAGTGAAAACCTTTGAAAATCCATCGTCCTCAAGCATACTTAAGCCTCTCAGCTCCTAGTACTAACCAAACTGCATATGTTGCCTCCTGAAAGAGCATGTTCAATGCTGGACTGGGGAACATACTTTGGACAGGGAATCTGGGGGTAGGAAGGCTCTCTTCTGTGCTCCCAGTGGATTTCTCCATTGGCATCAGGCAGCATGTAAGCATCAGCCAACTTATTCAGACGTAGAATGCAAAGCTGGACAAGAGGAGAGGAAAGAGATAGAAATGGACAAGGGGTTTAGTGACAGTACAATTGTGAAAGACATGGGGCCCAGAACAAGAATACTTGGATAAGTTGAGCAAGGAAACCAGGAATGTTTGCTGGGAAGGGAGGAAACAGCTGAGAAGAGATTTGGACAGAGAGTCAGACTGCAGGTAGGCTGGAACTAGCTGATCATTAACTGGAACCAAAAAAAAAAAAAAAACTGATGGGGAGGAGAAGCTAGGACTGACTGGGCAAGCCAGCTGTAGCTAGAATCTAGTGCTGTGACAAATCGGGCACAGGAGTGGGGAGGTTTATCAGTCAGAGTTTGGGGAATGGGAAATAGAGACTAGTTGGGCAAAATAACTGGGATAGAAAAGAAGACAGCGGAAGACACTTTGGATGTGGAGCCCAAGAGGGAAATTTAGACTTTGAGAAAGTCACGGCTGGCAAGGAGAGGGGGAGATAAGATGAAGTGGGAGAACGCAATGAACTGGGCAAGGAGATTAGGTGTGAGATGTGGAAACGGAGAGCTGGAGATTTGGATGATAAGTCCAAAAAGTGAGACCAGGACTGGCTGGCCAGAAAGACTACCAGTAGTAGTGTAACTAGAAGGGGAGGAGGGGTTGGAATGGCATGCCCTTCCTCAAAGAGTCTGTCCCATGTTAGGAGTAGCCCCGTGCCACCCAGCCAGAGGAGCTGAGTGTCAGCACATGGCAGGAACAGTGTGGGTCTTTGAGTCCCCAGGGTAGATAAGACTCCCTCCCACAGCCCTCCAGCACTTGGTACTCCCACCCCAAGAAGCTTCTCCCAAGGCATTAAATTTGATACCAATAGTTAGGCCACCGTGAACTAGTGATGGGGGAGAGTAAGCACTACAGCAGGAACAGGGCAGAAGAGGCTGTGTCCATTTGGCATGTCTCTGGAGTCTGGAACAAAATCTAAGATTTCTGGATTTCACCACATCCTTTCCTGTCAAGATGCATCTATGAAAAACTCACAGCCTAGGTATATTCCTCTTGATCTCGTCCACTTCAAGTATAATTATTCTTGCTATCAGTTAAGCAAAGAGATACATCTATATACGATTGATTTTGCCTTTTAAATTTTTCTTTTATTTAAAAATCTAGAAATCTTGCACACAGACACCAAGCTCTGGTATTAATATTACAAAACCAAGAACCCAAAAGTTGGAATATGTCCAAAGTAATGGCTGCCTGTGCAACTTTAGTTTGGTTCCCTTGTGCAGATGCATTATGCTACAGTCTTTTGTCAACAGATCAAAAACTATTTGTTTTTCCCCCAGGACATTTAGGCATACTTGCCAGAGGGTCAAATGGAAGTTGTATGAGCAACTTTATTTCTAGCTTACATAATTATTTTAATCATGAAGAAGGCGAGTTAATTAACCTTCCTCGATTACTTTAATAATGTTATTTTTAACATATATTTTTGTGAGCAATATACATGCATGTGTGCATGCACTGCAGAAATAACTACTGTATAAATCACAATATTTTTCCCCCCCATGCTTGTAGTGGTAAAATTACTCTGTACGGCTCTTTTGAAGTGTTGGGTCAGACTACCTGTGGAAACTTGCAGAAGCCTAAGTCATGAAAAATATCTCTCGGTTCTCTGGGAGCGCAGGGTTGCTGTGCTATCCTTTAGAAGGTATAGCAGGTACCTGACCAATTCTACTGTGTGGTGGCAGGCTATACTGGGAATGAGAGCTGAGAGCCAGCCTGACACAGGAGAGTGCAAAGATCATACTTTATGCTGCTTTTCCAAGCATCCTTGCAAAAATACAGACTAGAAAATTTAAAGGTGCCTAAGGGCATGTG